CATTATTCTTTATGTATGTAACATTTTTTTTATTACTTGTAACATATAATTTAAAACACAAAATTTCCTCAACCAAAATATTAATAACATACGAAAATTATATTAACATATACTATATCCAAGAGCCGTCTTCAGAGATTGGTTCCAAACATCGATAAATGTTACAGCAAATACAAAACGGTTTTTTTTTTTTGTTAAATAAAAGTATGCTTTTACATTATTTTTATAAAATCATTCGTTATTTTTCTTTCAGACCAATAATTTTAAGACAAACGTAATCACTCTAAGATTGGGACGCCCTCTCTGAACAGTGGGAAAATTTCCCAATGGATGGATCGTCTGCATCAGACGCAGCTCTTTCAGCCTATTTTTCACTACCGATTTCTTCACTTTCTGGATTACGGTGCATGCCTTTTTATGCCATGCCTGTGGCGGCCTCTGGTGTTCGTCAGAATCAACGTTTTACCTCTGCAGACGATAAAGATCCTCCTGTCGATATACAATCATTGCTACCTAATGGATTAGGTAAGTGACTGTGCACTAGAAAAATAGGGGAAAACTAAACTATACGAATGTGAAAAAAAACATGAAAGAAAATGCATTTTTTATATTATCATATGGAATAGAACTTACTCGTGAATGAAAATAGAAAATAACTTTCATGTAAAAAATATAAATTGATAAAAGAAACTGGATGTTAATAATGTAGAGATGTAAATCGTTATACTTTATACACCTAGTTTGTAGAGTTCGATCGGATTTTTGAATTATTATAATGACAAATATTACACACAACATCACAGAACTGTGCCCACAAAAATAGATTCACCTACCATATTACAATATACAATGGTAAGTCTGTGGTTAATATTAATATTATAATTATCTTTATGTTTCATTAAATTATACTGTTATTATGTTATCAGTAGAACCCCACCCCCTGAAAAAAATCCCGCGGTTCTGCAAACCAAATAACAATAAATAAATTTGGAACCACTGGACCAGATGATTGACATCACATTTCACCCTCTCTTGACATGCTATACTAGAATTGTATGTTCACTCTTATAGGACATCCACTGCCCTAAAGTCCAGAAACAAGTCGCAAACCATGAATCCCCGGATTCATAGTCCGATCCAGAAAAGAAGGAAGGGTCGTGTTTTATTTATTGTCTACGTACTTTGTGAGATCGCTCGAGGTTACTATTTTGTGCGTACGCTTTATGTCATATAGTTATTCTGGCCGTGACTCAACTTGCATTAAAAAAACGGAAGAAATATGATTGGCTGGCAATAAATGCTGATGTAATTAATTATAACAGCTACGAATAACTTTATAAACATTTCTTAACAGAAAGGTTTCGTCCATTTTTGAGCATGTTTAATATTTTTAAGCCTTTAGCCTCAGGTCAGGTTCAGCACTCACAAAACTCTAATAGTGGATTTCTTTTAAACTCTGACCTTAATTCTACAAGAAAGCTCCAGTTGGCGCTCTTCTTCATTTGTTGAGAAACCAGTTAAGATACTGAATCTTGTTTATCATAAAAATCACAAACTGTTTAAATAAATTCTTCATATTAAACATGTAAACATATGCATCTATCTTAAGTATTGATAACTGACTGTCGTTTATAATGTTGGTGAGAATCTAGACAATTGATTTTACTTTCAACCTCATCAGATAATAAAGAGATTAGATATATATATATATGAATGGATGTGTAACTTTTAGCACCAAAATAAAAGAAGCTTTATTTCTGTTATCATCAGGAGAAGACCCTCGTCAATGGAATAAAGATGAAGTAATGCAATGGTTGGATTGGATGACAGAACAACTGTCGTTACCAGCAAGTGACCCAGAACATTTTCATATGAATGGTATGTTATCATTTGTCGATAGGGTTAGATCACTTTATTTTAACTTTAGACTATGAATGAATAAATAAATATCAATTTTGTTACTATGTACTACATATTACTGTGGTAATATAACACTGTAATGATGTTTTTATTATTTGTTCTTGAGTGAAAAAGTTGATAAATACTTGATGACCTTCACTCAAAGTTCCTGCGAAAATTAGTTTTACTACCATTATTATGGTTTAGTAATAATGTTTAATGTTGTTTTACTGCCATTATTATGGTTTAGTAAT